CTGCACCCAGACAATAACTTTCTGTTCACCCTCCTGAGTCTCTGCACACACAGGTGCCCTATCACACATCCACCCATGTCGTGTGCTTTGTAGCATTCGTTACAATTTAGAGGTCTTGCTACGGTTTCATTTTGTTTTCTTTTTTGAGATGGGTCTCCCTCTGTCGCCCAGGCTGGAGTGCAGCGATGCGATCTCAGCTCACTGCAACCTCCATCTCCCAGGACCCAGGTGATCTTCCCACCTCGGCCTCTCTAGTAGCTGGGACCACGGGCACATACCACCACGCCCAGCTAATTTTTGTAGAGATGGGATTCTGCCATGTTGCCCAGGCTGGTCTCGAACTCCTGGCACAAAGGATCCGCCCACCTCAGCCTCCCAAAGTGCTAGGATTACAGGCGTGAGCCACTGTGTCTGGCCTTGTTATGTGTTTACTGTCTGGCAGGGCCACGGGGGAAGGGCTCTGTGTGTCTGCCTGTGGCGTCCCCAGCTCCAGGAAAGACTTGGCACATACGGAGGCTGAAGGTGCTCAATGAAGCAGGCCCCACTTCACTGGGAGGCCCAGGCCCCCTAAGGCTGGGGTTGGCTGGACTGAGATTTCTACTGCTCCACGGAAGAGGCGAAAGTGCCCCTGGGAGACAGGCTGGTGGGAGGAGGCTGCTGTCCAGGCCTGTTCGCAAACCAGATTTCCCTTTTCCTGCTCATCTGCCCACCTGGAAACTGTTCCAGCCTGAGGATCTGCTAATGAATTAAGCTTTAAAAGTGGAGGCTGCACGTGACTGTGCTCTGGCGCAGTTTCTGTTTCTTTTGGTAAATAAACTTCAACAAGCGCTTTAAGTGGGTTATTGCCGCATGGAGCTACAGGGAGTTGAGGCTCTTTACTACACGTCCCTTACACATGAGCATAATCAAACCCGTGACTGAGTTAAAGAGCCCTGAGTGAGAAAATGAAATTAATACATGCAGTTTCTCTTAAAGATTATTCCTAATAGAGACAAAATGAAGCTGGGGCTTAGCCACTGGGCAAAATGACGTGAAGCTGCTGAGAGTAAGGGAGAGAAGGAACAAGAAATACACTCAGGATGCTAAAGGCAGTGAAAAGTCGCAGACAACCTAATGTCTGTGCCGGAGTCCCTGGGACACTAGACCAAAGTATGCCTGGGGAGCGTGCAGCCTCCCCCAGGACGCTGCCTGGCAAAACACCGTAGCCCTGAACCATTTATGAATGATTCATAAATTATAGTCCATCCACACAACGTCATTTATGCTGTGAGCGCCTCTGTTTGCTGAGCTATAAAATCAACATAGCACCATCCCAGTCACTGGGTCGCTGCCATGACACAATGACATAAGCCATGAACAGAGCTTGGCAAACTGGTGCCACACAGGATGTGCTCAGGAATGGGAGCAATTACCGTTTCATCGTGGGACACTAGGAAGCCAGAGGGTGACGGAGACCTAGGCTCTCCAACATGGCAGCCACATGTCTCATGGGACTACTGAACACTTCAAATGTGGTCAGTCCAAGCTGAGATGGACTGAAAGTTCAGTATCAAAAGCCTGATTTTGAAAACTCAGGACAAAGAACAGAATGTAAAATTTCATTAACTTTTTACTGTTGATCACATGTTGAAATATTTTGGAGAGAGATATATATACATATATATATATATTTTTTTTTTTTTTTTTTTTTTGAGACGGAGTCTTGCTCTGT